ACGCAGCATTATATTTAACACTGTGCTGCAGTGTATTATTTTAACATGTATTAAAAGAAATTTCCTGGAAACTTTGGGACAAATACCTTAAGAAGGAGAATTGTAAACAAGCAATGGCTAAAATTAAGTGAATATTCGATATAAACCAGCCGTCTGTCTCTATGGTAGAGTCGACTGTTCTTCTCGTCTTGTTGGCGGAGATAAAAAAAAGAAATTGTGGCTACAGCCGATCGGGCGCAGCTAAGGGCGGGGCAAAGCGGGCGTCCTTGAAGGAAGGTCGGCGAGGCGCGCGCTCCATGGTTTTTTAAGTCATAAAAATTGCCCATAAAACCCTGAGCGATCCGCCAACACAGTGTAATCTTTCATAGAGATGTGCAGTATTGCCCGACTTTTCGGCGATATCCATACATTGTGCTTCTAAATATTTTAGAATCGGTGAATTCATTCAATTATTAAGTTTTTTTTCTTTAAATCCTTCTATTTTATTTATGCAATATTTACAACATTAAATCTATCTAAAACTACATATTATCTAATAGGCCTAATCCACGCGGTATGGTGCCAAGAACGCTAGCTGCATTTCCTCGCTGGATAGTTATGCTTAATCTTCGAGAAAAGAACCAGCTGTCTTGTCACCAGTTGCGGCGTTAAGCCTAGGACAAAAATCTTTAAAAAAATTTGATGTATGGGGTTGGAACCCACGGACCCAAAGTTATTATTAAGTTAGATATTTATCGAAAATAAATGACGTTTAGGCACAGTATTGATGACAGGCACAGCACAGGCACGGTTACACAATATAAACGTTAAATATGCTATTATTAAATATATATATAATTTTGCAGCCGGTCGTTGACCTGTCGCTTGCATATAACAGTTATATTCTTTTCAAGACGGGAAAGTTAAAACAATTGTAATAATAATTCTCGCCACGTCCTGACTCTCGTTCGCGCCATACCCGGATGTTAGAATGAATCGAAAATAAGTTTATCACGTGTTATTTTTGCAATTGTGAGTAACATATAATTCCTGTCCTATAATTACTGTCACAGACATTTATTTATTTATTTATTTTTATACTTCATTGTTACACCTTAGGCTAAAGGCTACAATGGGCGGACTTAATGCCTAGTGGCATTCTCTACTAGTCAACCCTTGTCATGGTGAGAAGTAGATGGCAGGTGCTAAAACAAAAGTAAATAAAAGTAGGAAAATATATACATAAAAATCAAATTAAATATAATGTGTGGACATATACGAATATGTATATGAATATTATTAATCATAAACTACATATATACATACAGACATTGTTATTTACAAAAGTGTTTGTACTTTATGTAGTAATATCTCCCGATAAAAAGTTCCCGCTTATGATTTAAATACAAGCGTTTACTTAGAAATCCCAAGGCTGTTATTTTAACTTGAAGGGAAAGTCGGAAAGCTTCATATATATGATAATTGCACGGCACTGTAAAAAAAGTGAGCGTAATGTTGACTGTCAATTTTATTGCTAAATGCGCGGGTAAGTGTATGTGTGAGTATTATGAAGAATTAACTAAGATGTCTACTTAATTGAGGTGAAGTAAGCTCGTTGTATAGATGTAGAGTTCGTCAAACCGCTCTACATATGTCATTATTATTTTATTAGATTTGATTCTGATTTGAGATATTTGCATCGGAGGTCATGGGTTTGTTACCCACCAAACAACCATTTGTGTGATTCACAGATAATTGTTTCGGATCTGGGTGTTTGTCTAAGTGAAAGTTATGTGTGTAAAACGTCCCTACAACACAGTTTAATATTATCCCGCAGTAAGGGCGGCGTTCTTTCAAATAAAAGAGAGAATAATTGCTAATACCGTATAGAATCAAGTCTACATACGCGACGGATACCAACTAGAGAACCGGCGCGGACACCCGTAGCATTCATTCAATGCCAATCAATTCGACGCCGACGCGACGTGCGTCAAAGCGTCGCACTGCCACCGGTTACCATACAATACCCCTCGTCGACAATAAATATTCCGGTGTCGTATTTAACTAACTTAATGAGACGGGCCTCCCGAAGGGTTGTACGCGGATTAAATCGAGAGGCGGACTGGAATGTGACTGTATTCTGATCGTATCGTAGATATTAGTATCAGGTTCGATTTGTAGTGTCGAGATTTGAGAGGGACCCGAATATCTGTTGACTTTTATGATAATTCCAACTCTGAATAAAGTTAAAAAAAAAATCTGTTCAATTTTTTTTTTCTGCGTATTTTATTTAGGTCATGAGTTCCTTTTATATATACTTTGGTAAGGTTGAAGGAAGCACTCATGAAATTTAAATGCATTTATAATCAATATAATATTATTGTTCGCATAACATTTTTAATCTACTTTGTCAAAGTAGTTGAATGCGAATGCCACTCAATTAGTTCCAGGTGAGTTATTGTTAAGGGCGCTAGTCCTCCGCTAACAGGTTCGATAATTTAAAAAATATACGTTTATATATCTGACATATATTTATATACGTTCTAATATGTGAAGTCCGCCAATCCGCAGTGGGGCCGCGTGGTGGACTATGCACTAATACCCTCTGTATAGAGGAGGCCTTTGCCCAGCAGTGGGACATGTATAGGCTGTTACTTTACTTTTTTTTATATATCTGACCACAGTACAATAATGTTTCCACGAGCTGACCTCGTAACGAATCTGGAAGGAACAAATAAGCTTACTTAGAAATTTATTAATAACACAGCTGTGTTTTAAGTAGCTACTTAGACTACTACACGTATATTATACTTGCGGGTTTTTCTCAGCTAAAATTTGTATTCCAAAATTAACGCCATAATTATAACTTTTAAGACCATAAACTTAATTTTGTGTTAATTCCTCCGTTATATACTAATAGTAACCGGAATAAAAAAAACTGTTTGTCGTTTATGATCATAATTCGACCAAAAACCATACCTGTGTGTTACAGGCTCTTTTGACGAGTTTAACTTGTATTATGGAAAATATTCAGCCTATTTATATTATTGCATCTGGCTTTAGGGCAACACGCAGCCGATATTTTTATTACACAACGTTGAGCATCTTTATTATTTTTAATTTAGCTTGGCCATATTTTAATGGATAAAGTAGAGTTTTGGAAAATTAGTACAAATACTTGAATGATATGCGATGAATTCTTGTCTCATTGACTCTATGCTTAATGTAATCTGTGGCAGTGAGAGTGTCCGAGATCGCTTGTCGGGCTTTTTGCCGCGCGGGCGCGGGCTAACAACCGCATTATATGCCGCCCGCCTTTTTAGAGGCCCATTACGCTGCGTCTATGGCCCGCGGAATGCTATTTGACAGAGCGCCATCTGTTGATGGGAAAATGAAACGACAACGCTTTAAGATTTAATTTACTTCGGTAAAAATTGTAGATTAATATGAAACCACTGTGTGAATAGACTGTGGTTTATTAGATTTTATCCACCATGGATTATATCGGACCGATAAGAAAAAACCTCGGGTAAATAATATTTTCTTGAACTTACATTAATGTCTCTAATATCAATAAAGTTAAAAACCTTTAAAGAAAACTATCCCGAAAATTTTCATTTTAAACACAACGTTTATAATATACTTTTTTTCAGCCATAAACTAAAATTCACTTTCCACTGTAACTCGGAGCCTTATTAAATTCTATGTTTAATAAAACACAAATCTGAACATAAAAATAAAACGAAAGCGAGTCAATTTAAATAAAAGGCGAAAGCAATTCCCACCACTGTGTACTGTAATAAAAATGAGCATTTGCCACACTCCATTTGAACATACACAAAAGAAATAAGGCCGTTCGCGCACTATGCTTTTACCGCGCCGTGTAATTTCTACGTGTTAAACAGGAAAACTAACTTACACCGGCGTAAGAATGCAACAAAAGCACGAGGCGGGATTAACACAATGACCTTTGTTGCGTCAGCCGGCCGGGTGTTGCCATTTCGTCCGCGAATAGCGAATGTTACGTGTGTGGGGCGCATGAGCTTATTTAACGCGGGCATTAGAATTCACGCTTCATTTACGTCGTGTTCTATAATAGAATTACAGAAATGTCGGACGGTAATTTTTCCAACAATTTTAAATAAGGGTGTCCTTCTCGTCGATTCACAAACTGAGGTTTTCACCGATAAGGATGTTTCCGGGGTTTTCCAAATGTCTCACATTTGTGACCTGTGAATTGCGATAGTGTTGACGTAATAAGTGCTTAGAATCTATAAATATTCTTTCCTTTCAATACAAGTTATTGGCCTTCCCACTATTACATGCATACTAAACGTATTTGAGCCAGAGCTTTGAAATGATGTACTTACGATAACCCTATATTGATAAATAAGGCCAAGTACCATTCACCCTACAATTTTAACTATAAAAACAAGATGATGATGCGACACTATAATAGTTAGATACTATTATAGTGTCAAATCATACATATTATAAAGATATAATATGTAACTGTTTATCATAGAAAAATGACGTACATCTTAACTCTACTGTGGTAGAGCCACAGAGCAGCCTCTGACATTGAACGAATGCGCCATTTTGACCGAGGCATCATCACTTCCACAGCAAATTGGGATTCGATCGACAGTCAAAGTTACCGGAAGCTTACATGAAAGACTTGTTGGATACCATACCCGGTGATGAACATCGGATAAATCTCTAGCACATTTTAAACTTCGTATGAAAACCTTATTTTGTGTAATAGTGAAAGTAAAACCTAGTTTATGATCCTTACTTAACTTTTGCAACACCCGTTGGGTTGTAGATGCGTTGTCACCTAATATTAAAGCGCCCCACTAGCTGCCCCACTCACCAGACGAAACGCAGAAGTATTACACTTCCACTTCACGCCAGTCTTCTGTAAGATCGTGTTACTTACCCAGCGGAACTGTCCAATGTTGCGTGGCCCTACCACAGTTTTATTATGACTATTAATTATATTTTTCTCTTTCTATTCGCAGGATGGTTCTCGGCGTGCGGGTGTCGTGGTGGGGCGCTGGCTGCAGCCCGGGGCTCAATCGCAGCCCTCCTTCGTACCAGGGCGTTCGCTCTGGTATCGCCGCGTGCAATATCTGCGTATCGGGCGCGGCCCGCGTCTGGTTAGATGAATTTCCATAAATAAAAACTTTCACCTAATGAACTCTTAACCCTAACAAAAGGAGCTCGAAATCTTAGTCAACGCAAAAGGCAAAAATAGTTGGTAGAGTATCGAATATTTCTTTGTTAAATATAGACTTATTTTAAGCTCTTATTAAACGTCAAAAAACTACCACCAGCTCACTAAACTAGACCTATCCAGAGAAGAAATGGCAAGAAACTCTTTGTTCTTGTAATCTTATTTTTTTTTAATTACATTGGTTTAGAATATTATTTATGTATAAAATCAGCAGCAACCCTGGCTTCTGATTTTATACTTAAAGATAAAAGTTGCAAGTGCAGAGCAAGAGTCATTTCCACAAATACTTGTCCGCAATGTATTTTGCAACATTATAATAGGCTATTTCCATTGATGTCACGTTTTTACAAAATGTTTTAAATAGTGAAAGTAATTAGTAGCTGTTGGAATATATGTCTTGATATTGCAAAATAATGAAATAAAGTTTGCACCAATCTTATTTCATAATCCACATAACAGACGCATGTAGACATAAGTAATTTATTAACCGCAAGAGACTAAAACAGCATTCCCTGACCGCACTACCGTTTAACATTTCTATTAACGAGGTCGTATACAGTCTGGCAATAATAATTGACTGCACGTAAGAAGTTATACTTCTTTACCATAAAGACATTCAAATGTAAATGATAACGGTTTATCTAAATAACTTAGATTTATTGGTAAATATCAAAAAATTATTATTTGCCAATATTAAATTCCATCAAGCATCATGTCGCTTTTTGAAGGTTGGTGTACGCGCGCATTGCAAAAATTTCACTCTCATAATTTTTCCAAACTCACCAAAAGAAGTATAAATACAAAAAATTATTTAAAGTGTAATAATGATATATTTTGCCAGATACTGTACATAAATATATTGTATTGCTGAATATCTTAAGCAAGACACCAAAGGTTTGAGATACAACCCTAAGCGCGATACACCAGCTGGAAATTTCTCTTAGCTTGTTGAATTTTGGATAAATTTTATTTAAAGGGATTATATTACATTTATTACAAAATTATAATGATATCAATGTACAATTTACGTATTTTTACGTACTTCTTTTATTCATTACTGATTATATTATTTATTCAATTCTATTAAGGATTATTTATCAATCATAAGTTAATGCGGAATTATCGTAATTGTGCGATATTTTTCCTGTGTACTGTCCCTAACCTTTACCTTTATCGTGTGACATGTCGCTTTCAATTCTAGATACGGTAAAGCCATATCCGGACGGTAGCAACGCCCGCAAAAGCACTAAAACTTTCACCGGCAAATAGTCTGTTTATTTCTGTCTACGTCTCTTTAAACTTTTATTATATAAATAAATTCGAAACAAGCATAAATGAAACATCTATTCGTACATAAACACATCGAGCAATGTTTCATACAACAGCGTTACTAACGTTATCAGTATTACAGATTCACAAAGGATCGGCGTAAAGTAGGAGAAAGGACTCTATTTTTACCTTTTCATTTCGTCTCATAACTAAGTTAAGTAAGGTACGATTGTCTAGAAGATTGGTTAATCACTGGAACCGCACAACTTTTGTGGTTTCTCTACGCGCACACTTAGGTTATCTCCATTTTCCTGGGAGTCGGACGGATATGGGCATCGGGGAATATCTCTACATGTAGCGGTTATCACTTAACCCAACTTCTGCTATATATGACGCGTTTAAAAAGACTAACACAGAACAACTCTGTCGCAGAGAATGGCAGGGTGGGGGCGCAGTACGAGCGGTCGGCGGCGAGGCCAGGCACGCCTCTGCGGCTCGCTGGGGTGTTCGCGGACGGGAGCAAAGCGAAAGCGCCGAAATACGCTCAGCTCATCGACCCGCAGGGGAACGTAAGTACACTATGTTGTCTGATCGCCGTGACGGCTTTGTGCTATTTATTGTGTTGCATCTGTGACAGCTCTATATGTTCTTATATTGCATCTGTTACAGCTCTATATGTTTTAATATTGGATCATTGACAGCCCTATGTGTTCTTATATTAGATCTGTGATGTCTGTATATGTTTTTATATTGGATCAGTGATGGTTTTATATGCTCTTATATTGGATCTGTGACAGTTCTATATGTTCTTATATTTTACCTGTGACACCCTATGTGTTGACAAACGTCGCGGTGGAAGCCTTTTTCAATCTTATGGTGGTGGCTATTCGAAAGATAGTCACCGAAGGTTATGTCCTAGTCTTGAGCACTAGACCACGGTCGGATCCTAAGCTTTGAAGGTCATATTTATCCTTAATGTCATATTTATTTATTTTTTGCAAGGAAAAAGATACAAAATAAAAACCAAAGAGTACACTATTCTGCCAGCCAAACTAATCTATAGGTTGGTGAGATGTGCTACATGTAAAAGTCTCTTAACTGATATCTATTCTATTTTTTATTTTAATTCCCAATATATTGAGTGTTCTTAAATAGATATTATATATACGAGATCTACTAAAGTAATAGATTGTAAAAGTAATCGGTAGGCAAGTTAAAGGAACTAAAATAAAATCAGCAAACGATCAGGCAAGCAAATTAAACAGACAGTGGAGCAAACACACAATACAACGATAAAATTAATGTAAACCAGTAATTAGAAAACTTCATTAGAGAAACACTAAAACTAAAACCCGGGTGCTAAATATCATTTCAATAACAACTACTGTTAGCTTACACGCAGTGAGCGTCTGCATAACTGTTATTGCAGACATCACAAAGTAATTCCGTCTCCAGTCACTCGTCTGGGATCGTGTATGCCATTTTTAATTCAGCCATCGGACGTTCAGATTATTTGCATTAGAAATATCCCATGTGACATTATAAACGCTTTCCATAATGCCGGATAGTATATACATGGGATTAAAAAAAGACCCTAGGACATCCTGCTACAAAAGACCACTCTTGGCTTAATTATGATTAATTATTGAGTAGGCATTGCAAACTGGGCTCGCTTTGTTACAATACGATGGTTTTTCACCTAATTAAAGTGTCTTATTCTAGAGATAATAGGACGCCTTAGGACCATGCTGAAACATGCTCGTAAATTTTGTTTCTTATATCGGGAGCAGATATATATAGTCCAATAGCCTTATTTTCTCGACCAGCGTTGAATTGTCCTGGAGACAACAACAGAAATGTATGGTATTTATACTTTAGCTTCTCATATAGCGAGTGGGCTATTCGGTGATAGTTCACTTTTAACACTTCTGGTGTTACAGATGCCCGTAACATCCCTGGTAATATTTCAGTTAAGTAAACTTGAACCTCGATATTATTTTAAATATCTTTTAATGCCCCTTCTAATAAATTTTTCAAGCACTACTTCACTACTTTAATTTATAACTAAAACCTTTGACGAAATATGAATGTCATGTTTCGATATAGATGAACTTAAACTATTATGTAATAATGATGCTATGGAAATGATACTATGGAACACTAGATGAATTTAAACGCAAAATTAAAAGTGAACTTATGGCTAAGGCATATTATACCATTGCGGAATATCTTGACGACGTCAAGGTGTGGGGTTAATACTGTTGATACTCACGTAGGCTAAAATGACATACTTGTTCTACTATATTGTAAACTAATCGTTTTAAAAAAGAGCAACTGTTGAGTTTCTTGCCGGTTTGTTCTCAACAGAAACTGCTTTCCGAACCGGTGGTAACTTACGAACGTATTAATTTTTATGTAAAATTTTTGACATTTCATATGAACGCGCAAGCGTCTATGTGAATAAATATATTTTTGATTTTGATTTAGAAGATAGTAGGCATAAGTATTCAGACCCATTACTTTTAATTGGTTCGTCGACTTTGTCTGCACTTATATACACACCTCGCACAGTTGTTCCGCGAAGTGTTACAAAGTCAAATAGTTCTCAAATCACTTGGTTGTTTATACAGCACTCAGAGTGGTCCCATTTCAACGGAACGCAGATTGTATCCATGCACTTTTTATTATTTTTATCATATAAAAATACACACAGTAAGAACCATCTCGCGAAAGTTGAATCATTCAATTAGACATGATAAATTTGATTCATAATTTTTGTTTGATGAAAAAAAATGTAACTAAAGTTTAATTCCTACAAAAATTACCTCCTAAAAAACTAATTTGGGATGAAAACTCGTAAGTTGGCAATACTGTTGTATTACATTTGCCTTTAAAATAATGTTTCCGAACTGATTTTTAACGTAGGAACATTTAAAATATATTTTACAATGGATTTAGTTCATAAACGATAACGTACCATAACATTATTCAATAATGAGTTATTGCAATATCGTGATGAATTAATGGTTATTTTTTATGGTATCATTTGTTCAGTGCATAATTATGAGAAAGACGCTTTTATTTATGGCCTAAGTAAGACTATGTTAGAATACCAGGTGTCGGTAGTTACGGCGCCCTCTTTTCTATAGAAGAATAGCAAATAGTCATCAATGTTTTATTGTTCGATATTAACTGAACTCCTGAGATTTAAGTGATAATTTTTATGAATTTCCATGAGACTTTAAACACTTCAAACTTTTATCATTTTATGAGCGGCTATCAACATGCACTATACTCTCATCATATCTTACTCTTATAAAAAGTTACTGGCTATAAGGTATTACTCCTTAGCAGACACGAAATGAGCATGACACGAATATTTTAAATATTGGAGGCAGTGAAAGAAAGATAGTTTGAAATTACAGAGACCAAACAATTCTGAATTATTTACCGCCATAAAATTTTTGACAGATCGTTTCTTGTTTACAAACATAATATAGTTTTGTTTAAAGTTTAAAGTATATTAATTTAAATGTATGAACAACATTACCAGAAGTCTGGGCTGAAGTCAATAACACACAGACATAATCGAGGTAAAGGCTATTTTAATATGGTTCATCTTCGTCGTTAGAAACACTTTAAAAGTTTTAAGACTTGATAAAAAAAGTAAAGTATCAGCCTGTCTACATGTCTGCCTACAGCTCCCACTGCTAGACAAAGCCCTCCTCTGTACAGAGGGTATCAGGACATAGTCCACCACGCGGCCCCACTGCGGATTGGCGGACTTCTCATATCTTCGAAATATTTTTTTGTTTTATATTTCGAAAATATGCATGTTTCCACACGATGTTTTCCTTCACCGCAGAACACGATAATTCGGCAGTTAAAGTTAACAATTTCATCGGTGCCGGGGATCGAACTCAGGTTGCTCTAGTATATTTAATTAAAGGCGAGCACCCGGACACTGAGCTATCACTTTTGATATCCCGTGAAATAAAAGATACGGGACCCACGGAAGTGGACAAGCAGGCACTCAATTATGAATGCAAAAGCGGTCACCCATCCATACGTGAGACAGTTCGACATTCCTTTCCTCGGTAGGTCCGTTGGGAACGGTCAGTAACTAGGCACCAACTAACTTTACCATACAGTACCTAATACCTTAAATGCTAGTTGATGTAAATGTGTTCTATTTTAGTGGGTTGAACAAGGTAACTTTTGGCTATTATTCATATCATGATGTAATTATATCTTGTGTTTTCGACCCGAAGTTCTTAATATCTGGAACTAACTTCTTAATCTACACTTTGGTAAAAAAAAATTGCCTAATCCCAAAACCTTAGCCATGATTACCATTTTCCAAAACAACTTACCTACCATGGTAAACACAAATACCTCTTTATGGTAAAAAAAAATTATACAAGTAAGTGTTTTTTGACCACAAAGAAGTATTTTTTAATGTCGTCCATCTATCTATAGATAATACCTTTTACACACATAAGTTTTAACGCCAATCAAAGCTAACTCCGTGACGCTGCTCGGCCTCATCTGAAAGTTTTCGAAGCATATACACTGTTATATATATTTATATACACTGGCTAGAACAGATGCATCCATGCAATGTAAAAACGCAACCGCCTCTAATGGAGTCGACACAGGGCGTAGGAACTTTATTGCAGGGCTAATATCGATTAATCAAGCCTATCACGCGAGAGCGGGTTTACGAACGTAAAAAGGGTAAAAAATCGAGCACGCCACGTCGATACGATGCTTACTCGATTAACTATCAAATTAGTTTCTTCTTGTTTTTAATAAAAAATGCTGCCAGTACAAGAAAGTTCTCTACACTTTTTCTTTTTTTTGTCAATTACTTCTATTTATTGTAATAGCTAGTCCACGATGTGGTGTTGAAATAGAAAGGTAAATTGAAAAAAAGAAGGAAAGAAAAGTAATCAAAATTGTTACTTTCGATTGCTCCTTGTAAGACCCTGAACATACCCCGTGGCCGTTTGAATGTTATTTATTATAATTAAAACATGTATATAAATATTCATGTTTCATTTCTGTTTTATACGCGAGTCGATAATGGAATAGATTAACTTTAATGGGAAATGTTCGTAAAAGGATTTATAAATAATACAACTTATCCCATCATTCGGATACTACAAAGTAACTAAGTGCAGTATTCCTTTTAGACAAACACGACCTTGAGGTTGGATTTATATAAATGGAATTGTGCACCTACTAACATAAAAGGATATAAAAAAATTTATTCCCCCCATATATATATAATAATTTGTTTGTGAAAAATTTATCTCCTAAAGAATTTATCATACAATTCTCATACAATGTTGAAAGTAGTTAATGAATCAATTGCCTATGAACAGCATAACGTGCCAAACAATCTAGTGCTTTCATATTTATGAAATTATAAAATATTTTAATGGTTTCGTGTTCACGCACCGCATAAAATTACATTGTTTTATTCTTATCGTTATGCTATTAATAAAACAAAACGAGCCAGCTTTCCCTTACACTTGGAAGAACATAAGAACTTCATCTATTTTTACTCGACCATCTCGAACCCGTAGTAACGCTTGCTAGGATCTCTCCAGTAAAGATCTAACATACTTAACGCTCGCAGCGCAAACTCACAAAATGCACCCTCCTCCATTGGAATAACGCATATTCGAACTGCAGACTAGAACACCAATGCGCTTGGACGATACAAAGTTTACTTTACAGCTTATAATAACAATAGGAACCTTATTGCTTTCACTTAAGGTTTATTGAATGCGCGCAGTGGCCGTGTGTAGGTTTCAACGATGCGAGGGCAGTGTCCTCGGTGAACCATGTTGCTAGGACGTCGGCTTAGGGTTGTCACGATTCTCTAATGATTTCTTTTTTTTGCCCGGTTTCGTTTTTTCCCCGTTTAAAGGGAAATATTGCCCGACGTTTAGTGGCGGAGACGTGGGGCCGTTTTATACGGAATAATCTTGTCGCCGTTATATACGCCGCCATTAAGGGGAAATGAGAATTTCTAACTAATATTGCATCGGAGCATTGCCTGCGAATATTTCAGCGTTTACGATTGAAACGTTAACTGTGATTTATTGTTATTAATAGAAATAAACACCGTCTGATGACTTAGCGGACGCTTTTACCCTGTAATTGCCAGTCTTATGGGTTTCGCTGTCAATTTTAGCGTCTAAAACTCCATGGATTGCTTCGCTTAATGACTGAATGCGAATCAACAATGTTAATTAAGAGCTGAGAGGTTATTTTCGCTTCCAGAAACGTCCATATGATGAGTTGTCAATCGCGGGAGTTAATTGGATTCTGTTCGCGTTACGAACAGAATCCTTCACGCTTCACCAATTGCATTGGTGACAGCACCGGGGATCGAACTCAGGTTGCTCGAGTATATTGAATGGCGAGCTCATTGAGTTATCAAGGCAAGTTTTCTTATAACTTGGGACTTGGCAGTTTTTTTTATAAAATGTGAACAGTAAATTAGAAAAAATCTAGTATACAATTTTTTTAACTCGTTTTATCCGGAACGCGATGTTGGCAACACTATAACCGCATAGTTTTTCCGCGCTTAGGCAAGGACATCGCACGTTCTGCCCAATGCGTCTCACAGTCGAACGTCACACGAATTTGGTCTAATGGGCCATCGCCCCGTGCCAATGCCCGTTTTCCGGTTTGCTCAAGGACTGGCCAGTAGCCATTTTGGTTTCGACTCAATGGTGTACCAAGGAATTCCAAGACCAATAACGCAATTCTAGTAAAATCACTACATAGTATGAAACAAAGTCTTCCCGCTGTCTGTCTGTCCCTATGTACGATTATATCTCTAAAACTATGCAACGGATCTAAATGCGTTTTTTTTACTAGATAGAGTGATTCAAGAGGAAGGTTTATGTATTTCTTCGCGATTCCCACTCTAAGTCCCTGAGATCATCAGAAAATTTGGAGCTAAAAATTCCTACACACAAAACCAAGTTCATGAGTAGTTCATTTATGGTGCAGGGTGCGCGACTCTGAAATGATCTACCTCTAGAAGTAAGACGCGCTCAGACAATAACTACTTTCAAAAACCGTGTAAAGAATCACTACTTATCGCTGTAACTTTATTTCTTAAAAATGATATATGTATTCGTATGTATGTATATGTTTATATGTATGTATTTATATGTCTATATATATGTCTGTATATGTATATTTATATGTATATATTGTTAGCTTTTTGCAGATACACATACTTATTTACTAACATGTTTGTCTTATTATTATTGTTTTTATTTTGCTCTCTTTTATTGTAGTTTCGATATTATTTAATTCGTTCATTAAATTAACCCACACCTTTTATTCCTTAATTTATTCCAATCCATCCAAAAGATACGAAAGAAGAAATTACTTTTAGTAATAAGGCCGCCCATTGTACCTATCATTTAAACTTTAAGGTTTTGTTTGTATATTTCATTTTGGTGTGCAATAAAGAATATTTATTATGATTATTATTATTATTTATATGTATAATACATTGCACCGGGTCGTATAAATGAGTTAGACGTCTCGAGCGTTTGAAATAAAAAAAAAAACATACAAACTTCACCAAGTTTAGAGCTAGGCGATAAAAGCGCTCGTAAATTTCGACTTTGTAGCTCCAAATTCGCAAAAGTTATAAGTATAGTCTGTACGTAGTTTATACTTTCGACGCAGCTGTCATAGAAGATCGTGTATTTCGAATGCTTTGCTCGAATTTCATTACATACTTATGGTATGTACACATATATACATTACATACTTATACCAATTATGGTATAGAACAAAACAAGTAGGCATACATATATATATATATATATATATATATATATATATATATATATATATATATACATAGATTTATTCTAATTAATTCTATTCATTAATTTTAACGTCTTAGTTCAAAAAAACGAATGATTTCCTAAAAATATTCGTTTTTGTAATTTATTAATGTGTCTAACGTTGTGATTTCCAGCCCTATCCAAGTTGCAAGGGAAAAATGACGCACGGATCGTTTTGTTTATGGCATAATAAGTCCCTTAATTATGTAAGGGACTCTTCGGGCCGAAGGGCCTATTCGCGACTTACACGACATTCCCTTTGTGATGTCCTGAGAGAAATGTTAACATGTACGCAGATGTGAACGCAACATTTGTCCCCATTACGGCATTCGTCGCTCGTTTATTTGGAGTTATTCCGCGCTTTTCCTTGTTTGTTCGTGTGGATTTCCGAGATTCATTTTATCTATTGTGTTTTGAATCAGGAGGATTAACAGCAATATAATCGCACATCGCTTTTAAAAGGGACAAATGTTTGTGGAAAAATTATATATCGACCGGTCACACAGTTGGAACGTTGGACAGAGGAACATACATCTTTATATATATATATATATATATATATATATATATATATATATATATATATATATATATATATATATATAATTCTTGTGCACGTGTGTATCTCGCTAAACTCCTAAACGGCTGGACCAATTTTAATGAAATTTTCTGTGTCGTCGATTCGTGAATGGTACAGATTCACTAATTTTTTTTTGCTTTTGCGATGTTATCAATGTACTAAAAAATTTAGTTTAATTTTGTCAAGAAATATTTCTTTTTGTTTTAAAAAAAAAACACCAACTATAAGGAACAATTCCTGTGTCGCGGAAATTTGCGAAAACATGAAATTCACGGACGCAAAGCGCATCCATGCTCGTAACAACTATTTGTGGAACACATAAACTGTTTTTGTTATTCCCACATGAGGATCGAACCCGCGACTCAGCTCTCAACATTGGGCAACTCAAGCAGTTACTTAAAAATATTATTCCGTTTCCGTAGCTCAAGCATTAAAACTAGTCAATTAATGTTTTATGTAACCTTTAATAACATCAAATCCTGTTACAAAGGTCTGTTGCCTAATGAATTCGTCAATTTTTTTTTATTTACATTGCGTTTTGCTATTTTAATTCTTTAAGTTTCAACGACTTGATGATATAGTTATGCCAATTTAACACCAGCCTTTCAATGAGTTATTTTTTCCGATCAATGCTAGAAACATTAAGTTGAATTCGTAAACAAACTAAATTTAAAACAACATTAAAACCTAAGAGTTGCTAAGCTATTGATTTCAGTGCCAAAAGTTGTGATAGACACACTCAGATGAAACTTAACCATAGTAGTCACGGATATAGCAGAGTTTCCGCAAGAGCCCGAAGTTGTCAGCGCAGCGCACGCGTAATTGCGAAATTGCTAAATTACAGTTTCGTCCACGTACCGTTGCGTCCGATAGCAAATTGCCCCAATGATTAGGGGGAGATGGTGGAACTCTTTGTTTTCTGCAGTCACCAGTCGGCTTTGCACAAAATTGCCCTCACCTATTCCTTCCACACGAGAATCGAAGAAAATGGTTTCAAAAAGTTTACAACTTCTACACCTGACCTGCTATCAAGGTTCACACTTTGCTTATAGATATATAATAATTTGCTTATATAGATAGATAATATATGTCTGTCATCAGGGGAGTAAACAAAAACATTGTAACCTTTCCACCAATATATACATTCGTCTTTTACACGTCAATACGAGATGTGTTATGACACTATTTACGTCATCTTCTCGAGTAAATCGCCGCAATGAAATTCCCATAGTAGAAAAAAGAATAATGTTTTTCACCTCATTAATCGATGTCGAGATTCACTCCCGCTGTTCTTTCAACTTGCAAATACAGATATACAACTAGTATATATATATATATATATATATATATATATATATATATCTGCATGTTTTATGTGAGAAGGGGCGAGCAAGCTGTTCACCGGATGATAACCGCCGCCCATGGAACTTTGCAACACCCGTGCGATTGCACATGCTTTACCACTTTTTAATAAAGTGCTCCCCGGCTACCTCACTCAACAGACGCAACGCAGAAGTCTAACACTTCCACATCACGCCGGTCTTCTGTGAGGTGGCGGACTACCCCGGACGGACCTATCCATTCGTGCAACATAGATAATAATAAAAGATAATTATGCTTAGTGGATAGTAGATAAGTTATAAAAGCTTCCACTCACGTGGGCTTACATTACATTAGAATAGAATAGATCTGATTAATTAAGCTTTAATAGTCTACGGACTGAAAGAAACATCAGTATAAGTGAAGTAAATAATTATTCCAGTCTTCTGCGGGGCTGAGGTACTTGCCAGACGAGCTGACACGTTCAACAGCAGAAACTGTTGCATTGCATTAATTAATTTATTGTATGTGTTTGCATAATTGTATTATTTGTATTATGTATTATTGTATGTGTTTGCATAATTGCTACTGCAATAATGCAAACACATACAATATAAAACTCTATGGTCGAACCAACGGACTAGATATTTCCAATCAATTTAATTTGGATAACCTCAAAGGCGTGTTGAGGCACTTATACACATTTTAATTTCACTCGTTAATTATCAATTTTATTACAGATAATAACAACAAACGATAAAATTGTATAATTTAGTGCAACAGAACACGCACGATTTAACTACCTTCTAATATATGTTGGCTCTCAATAATTGTTGGCGCAATTAATAAACCACTCGTCGATAATCTAACAGTAAATAATCTCTTGTCATATTTATTAGCCAATCGTAAATAAAGAAGGCTTGAACTGAATTTTTAATTGCATATTGTTATTATAGCACCGACGTCGTAACAATTGGACATTTTGAGTAATAACAACTAAGATTAAGTGTAATGATCTATATATTTTTACCATTAATAAAGTTGAGGTGTCGGTCTGTTATTTCTAAATTAAGGCCCAATATTTCAGTGCTGTTTATATGATTTCTAATTATAAATGACCGTTTGCCTCGAAAAGTATTTAACAATTGAAAAAGAAAGCATAAATTTTACATGCAAGAAAACTAGTCTCATTAACACGTACTTTTTTAGGATTCCGTACCGAAAGTTTAAAACGGGACCCTATTATTAAGACTCCGCTGTCTGTCTGTCTGTCCGTTTGTCACCAGGCTGTATCTCATGAGCCGTGATAGTTAGGCAGTTGAAATTTTCCGAGATGATGTATTTCTGTTGCCGCTATAACAACAAATACTAGCAGACAGGATAAAAAATTAAGCATGGCTCCCAGACAACAGACATTATTTTTTTGTTTTTTACATAGATAACGGTACGGGACCTTTCGTGCACGAGTCCGACTCGCACTTGGCCGGTTTTAAATTTCAAAGATATGCAAACAACCTTGTCCTGATGATAAATACTATATTACTGCTGTGTTTTCATGATGATTGAAGACTACGGAGATTCAGATCCGCAACCACAAAATGAAAAATTAAAACTTGTTTACATTAACAAGGTAATAAAAATATTAACAAAAACTCATTTCAAGGAAACATATACCATTATTGAGAGTCACCACTTTTCTAACAAAAAAAGTATTTTTGTACTTATGTATGAACGTAAGAAGTTACACTTCTTTGGCGTAACAAAAGAAAAATAACTAAATTTTTTATCCCCTGTGCCACTACTCTTTGTCTGTGAAAAGGCATTAAATACATTTTATCAAGGTTTGCTCTTTGTTCTTCTTTCTTTTTGAAACATTGACGTTTTACAAAAATAAATTTCACCCGGATAAACGCCCAGATGCGAAACAACTATCTGTGGATCACACAAATAGTTGTCCCGTGTGGGAATCGAACCCACGACCCCGGACGCAGAAGCCAATACCTTGGCAACTTCGCCACGGAGTCGTCAGTCAGTCAGGATTAGTTGAATAACTTTGAATTATACGTAAACCAATAACAACTGCGCCATTGCAATAACTAATAACGTGAAGTTGGTTTGTTCGCAAGCAACTTCATCATGTCGCTTTTTGGCTGTCAGTGCGCGCGCGCTACTTAAAAAGTTTAGTCCCATATTTTCTTTTCCATACGCGCCAAAAGAAGTATAACTTAAAAAACTGTCGCCCCCACAGACATTAATTGATAAATAAGTAAGAGACAAATTAAAAATTCCACGAACTTAATAAATGGATTGCAAATTTCCCGTATACAGAGAGCCGGTCCGTAATGACATGACACTGCATACTAAACAGAACAGATAATGTTCGTCGTGCGCGCGAGTGTTGCCAGCTACGACAATGCTTCGACGAATTTGCATTGAAATTAAAAACAAAACGTGGCAGACATTGTCTTTCTGTGGTCCTAATATACTGAGGACACCGGTCTTCTCTCAGTTATAGTATAAAATGTTATTAGTAGTTTTTATAGCTTACAAGCACTTATAGAGGTCTACATCAATGTTTTAGACCTACTTCTTCCCTATTCCAATATTTTGTAAGCGTTTTCTTATTTATTTTACACAAGATGTTTTCTGTAAGACACTGACAAATTTTCGAATTACTTATCAAATAAACAGACCTTCCTAATATAACATTACAGTTGATACTCAAGTGAACAGCCATACAAGGAATGTTTGTGAGTTTGTAGATATGATTTTTCTTTGCTTTTTTGTTTTATCACTCTTCAAGTTTATTGTGATACATTCGTTTCCGGGCGCCCGTTTGTAATCCTTACTAATATTATAAAGGCAAAAGTTTGTATGTATGGATGGATGTGTGTTACTCTTTCACGCAATTACTTTACAATAATATAGCTTATATATCAGAATAAGATATAGGCTAGTCATTTATATGCATATTTAATGTAAATCTGAATGTTACGCCTTCAGCCTATTCTACGCACACGTAGTCGCGGACAGCAGCTAGTTTATTATACTCGTGCAACCTAAGCTCAAATCCCAGTGCCAGTATCAATAAAATTGTTAATTTTAAATATTGTATTATCACAAGCTCAGCGTAGAAGGAAAACATCTTATCTTCATACCATAAAATATTTTCAAAGACATAGCAATACTCAAAGTACTAAAGACAGGCAAATACTCATTGGGGTCCCTATAACTATACCCTAATACCCTCTGTACAGAGGAATGCCTAATCCCCCTTTGCCTATACACTGATAGTTTACTTTTTTTACTCTCTCTCTTTATCTTCTTATTAGATCATTATCCTATACTGAGTAGAATCAGATACAGATTACTTATATAAGAAGGGCAAATTCCCCATCAGTTGAATGCCCGCTCAATAATTTCGAACGTTCGCGAAACATAACTGTAAATCAAATACAAACCCATTGATCCACTTTGGACAAACTATAAGTAGGAGATGTTTGCTTCTAAAGGTACCTAACTTATAACAATAAACCCGTGAGTTCAGAATGCAATAAGCGATATAATCTGATAAAACTTGCGATAAGGAGGAATTCAACTTTAAGGTAAGGAGATAGAGTTCACAATGCACTGGAAGCGTTCATTAACATTGATATTCTGTGACAGTTTTTATGGTCACGCTCCAGCCAATGCATGGGGACTGGCATAGTTCACTCATTTCATGTTTTGCAGTCAACGCACGAATCTTTGGGCATTTGCATGCATTCAAAAACGGTTCAATGCAAATCCAACCGTATCACTGATAGAAATAAGAACGATCGAATTGAACGAGCGAACGCAAATCAATGGTCACAAACTTGACCGTGATCTTAGCGTCCACTACTGTTCGATATTGTTCTTTATACGATGGCGTTAAAGTCAGTTTTGCAAAGACGAGGGTCCCATTACCGAAATGGTAGAAGTAATGGCATTGTTTCGGTCAACTTTGCACCGTATATGGGGTTTGACATTTGCAGTGCCGTGTCACTTTTTCCGCAGGCCGCGTCGTAAATGGACAACGTTAAGGTTCCTAACACACTAGCTTTTGTTAGCGATCAAAAGCCGTCTCATCCGCTGATATTTCTTTCTCTTCAATTAGGATATTTCTTATTATTTTTTATATTTTATATGAGAGATAATTCTAACTCTTCATATGTTTTTCTCAAGAAATTAACCCATTCCTTTGTATTAGCTATATTGTAGGACGAATACTAAACTTGGACCTTTTTAGTTTGTGGTAATTTAGCTACTAAATGCCATCAAACCATACCCAGTCTGTGTGTGAAATTCAGTATCGATGAAGTTGAAGTGATACCGAGCTATATAAGCAACACCGGAATCAACAAGAGGACGTAACAATTATTATTAACTTAATTATTTGTTTATACAGTGACTAGCGACATGCCCCGGCTTCGCACGAGTGCAATGTATTATACATATAAACCTTCTTCTTGAATCAATCTATCTAGTAAAAAAAGCCGCATCAAGATCCGTTGCGTAGTTTTAAAGATCTAAGCATACATAGGGACAGACAGACAGCGGGATGACTTTGTTTTATACTATGTAGTGATGATTATTATTTAGATGTAAATTTGAGACGGATACTAAACTAGTACTTTGATACTTATATAATTTAACTACCTCAATTAAAGCATACGCATTCTGTACATATAAAAATTATTAATTTTATAGTGTCGATGTTTTTACCTAACTTGTAAGTAGACGTCAACCTGTACATGACAACACCTGACTCAGCAAGAGGGGGCTGTATTCGCTTTTTTTTATACTACTAGCGACTCACCCCGGCTTCGCGCGGGTGCAAAGTATTAGACATATAAACCTTCCTCTTGAATCACTCTATCCAGTAAAAAAAACCGCATCGAGATCCGTTGCGTTGTTTTAAAGATGTTAGCATACATATGGACAGACAGACAGTGGAACGACGACTTTGTTTTATACTATGTAGTGATTACTACAAGTACTTTATTTCATCCAATCCCTCAACATAATATAGTGATAATTCACCCGAAAAAATGTCATCCAATCTACGATCACAGAACAAGGTAAATGTTGCCAAACACGAACACCGTTTTTTTCAAGCTTAAATAGCTAAGATTTCAGTGCGGCATTATTTCTATAGTCTTTCGCTCGACGTTTTCCGCGGAATTTGACGATACAATCGTCCAACACCTGAACATATTTTATGAAGCCACGTCGTGCGAACCTTAAAACGATTGCAGTAACGTCGACTTTGCAATGTCAAGTTTTGGACAACTATGGTAATGATTCCCTCCAACTCCTCTCTTAGAATCGTTCGGTAAATTATTTTCTCCCCGAACGTTACAAGTAAAATGAACGCTGTGAGGAAATATCGAGACATTCGTTTTTACAGTTAGTTCACGGGACACGCGGCGGCGGTAATAAAATAAATAAGCTCGGCATTATGGTTTTATAGTATGGGAGAAATAATATATTGAGATGGTTCCCGACTGCACTTTGATACCATCATGATATTTCTCTATTTACCTAGCAACACCGACGTTTTTAACCAACCTGTATAGTCTATTGCTGGTATTCTGGTGCATTACAAGTTTAATCTGTATTAATTTAGTACTTAAAAATATTTAAAATTAAATTTTTGAGGATATAATTATATTCCGTATGTTAAATTATTAAAAATTTTACTTTATTAACCGTCAGCATGAAATATTGATCCGAATCCATCGAAATGTCAATGGAATTGGTTGTCTCATTTGACATGTCAGTTGTGACAGTTGAAATTCAAAAATCAACTGATTTTCATTAAAAAAACCATTCAAATATTGTATTTGACTCACTTAGATGTAAGTATTTATATAGTAATAATTTTTAACATTTAAGATAAATATAGAGGCATATTATTTTTTTCTTAATTTCCTAAATAGTTCTTACTACTTACTTTGGGGTAAAATGAGCGATTTTGTATAAGAAACATTTAATATGATTATCGTAATCTACATTATTGAATAGAATAACATAATCACATTAAATGTAGATTTACCAAAATGTTAATACTTTTAAGAACAATACATATTGTAATATTTGTAAGTTTTTTGTCTGATATTGTTTTCTTGATTTTACGCGAATATTATACATATTAAATTAAACTACTTTACGGATTTTATCGCGTTTTATATTTTAATTTAAATTCCCGACGTTTCGAACCCTTTCCAGCGTTCATGATCACGGGACAGACTAAGTTGTTAGACGTCTTGATGTCATAGTTAACCCCGGCTACCGTCAATTATTTTGTTTATTTTTATTCCGATCCACGCAGCATTTTTTGTCTGAGTTGGAATTAAAGCCATCTATTGTATATTCAGGTCATTATAAGTATGGACGTAGATTGGACATTTAAACCTTACAACTGGTTGAAGGAGGCGAAAATCTTCAACAAGCGAATGGAGGTAGTGCCAGTGTCATGGTTCTTGGAGAACGTCGACATTCTGATCCTCCTTTTCACATCCAAGGGGGTAGACAGAGACGGGGTCATCGCCAAATTCTACGTGACCTACGAGAACTTCAAGTTCGCCAACCTGCCCGTGGAGGTGGTCTACGTACCGATGGACGAGACGGCGGAGGAGATGGCCGCGTCATATCGGAGCCAGGCCAACTGGTTCACGCTCCAATTCGACGATCCCCTCGTGCACACGCTGAAGTACATGTACGAGGTGACGTGCATGCCCCACCTGCTCGTGCTGAAGCTGGACGGGACGGTGGTCTCGTCGCACGGCACTTTCGACCTGGAGGAGTACGGGAAGAACGCCGTCCTCACCTGGCTCTCCACTTGCGCAACCAGCAATCTCCACCGGAGACTGAGCAAGGAGGGCGCCATCTACGGCGACAGCTGGAGCTACATGAACGTGGACCCGACCAGAGACGCGAAGAGCGAGTACCAAAGGAAGTTCCAGGATGAAACCGTTGAAGGATGATTTTTTTATGCGATTCTGAGTTCCATGTAATATGATACAATATATTACTAATGAAATTGGCTTCGAGATCGACTACTTTTTGACTTTATATTATTAAAGTTATTGATTACACGACCGGCAGTTAGATGAGCAATTCTATCGATCTATCGTTTTAGCTCTCGTTTGCGGTTTTAAGAGAAAAATTTCAAAGCCCCCGAGACATTGAGATCAAATAATTTCAATGAAAATTCTCCATATCATCTACCTATATGAATTTATTTATTTTTACATACTCCTTACTTCGATAATATGTTTATGTATCTCTTCTCATGAGAGTCTTCATCGCTCGACTTATATAAACTATGCATTCCAGCACACTCCACCGGGTTCTTTGTTAACTCTTTTACTATCTTAGCTACCTTACCTTACCCGTCTACGAAATGCAACAAGTAAGCCTCTTTCAATAGACCGGTTCATGAACACTTGTTGACTACAAGAGTCACTCAAGGTATATGCTAGTATTTTAAGTAGCAGCAATTTTTTCTATGAATTCAAGTAAATATCTTAAATCTTTTAGAATTCATTTGTTACATATTCCTTATTTTATAAGTATATAATTATGATATAGTAACAACCTGTGCAAATGTGCAGGAAGTGTATTTATGTAGGTGGCTCTGGATCGTGCTTCGTTCAGCAGTGGACTTTAACTTATGTTCAGCAGTGGACTTGAACAGGTTGAAATAGTGATGATGATGAATATAGAATATAATTATGCATCAGTTGATGCACCTCCAATCACCGGTCTATTGAAAGAGGCTTGACCATCACATAAAAAAAAGCCTACCATAAGTTCTTACCAAATTGTTAGTTAACTAGTAGAGAATACCTTTTGGCATTAAATCCTACGTTACCTTTAAGGTTTGCAATAAATATTAAAATAAAGAAATAAATTTGCAATTTTGGAACATTCGTAGAATCTTAGAGTATTTTACCCACAAAAAATCGTTCATCACTCTGATATACATAAAGAAACCACAGATGACAACATTGCATCGAAGTGGCCGTTATCTTTTTGCAGCTTTTTTTAAGCACAATGGCATCGTAGACAGGCTCGCGGCAAAAATCGATTAAGTAATGGACCTGTATTCACATCTAGATAGAGAGTTGCACCATTGTGTTTGATGAAACCTACTCATTATTTGGGTTAGTGTAAAAACGCCGGAGTCTAGTGATGTACGACTTCCATATCGATGCCATCGCGATAAATTTCGATATAAAGTTTAAAACTTGCGTTAAGAAATTACTTCAGTTTACAACAGCACAATTTGATCTCATGATTTTCTTAGTTCGTTTTTGAATATTTCGTTTTCAAATATCAAAAAACCATTGCCAATTTATTTCTGCAATTTCTTTTAAAGATATCTATATCTGAATAAGTAGATAAATATTATACCTATTTATTTATTAAAAGTAGATATATGATATGTTATAAGGGCAATGTTTTAAGAAACAAAAAAAAAACAAAAGAAAGATAATAACAAACATTATTTTATTATTAATTAAACATCGTTCAATATTTTAAACCTAGTAAAACATATTTAATTTATATTTACACAGACAAATAGTGGTAATCTTGATGTATATATAGAGCTGTGCTTACAGACTAACGCGCGGTTTCTGAGACACTGATCATTTCATCATTAAGAAGATGATTCTGATCAGAATAATAAATTCAAGCAGTTAAAGCATCCTTTTGGCAACTCAAATGACATTTTAAAAGCCATTTGACAGCTGATTAGTTGATTTCTACGATGATCAGTGTTTCAGAAACCGGGCGTTAGTTAATGAAGGCGCGTTAAAAACCCGTTGTCGACCAGCACTAATCCGCGTCGGCAAGTGCTCACGTTTTGACGGTGTCTGCGATCCGCGTCTAGATAGCGAATATTCTAGATCGTTTCGGCGATCAAGTTGATCGATGGGATTCGTACCTGACGTCGACCCCGATCTCTTCTTGGAAGTTCGCGCCAATTCCGCCCAGCGGCCGCGTTCTGGTGTAACCAAAAAAACTTATAGCAGCGGAATCGATTGCAGGTGTTTTTGGACACGACTTATTTGACCTTGAGGGAAATAAGTTCGACGTGATGGACTGGTTGTTTTTGCACTTTGTGCTTATGTTGACTAGGTGCTATCTATATAAACTTTTAAATAACTTGTTAAACGTAATAAACCATAACGCTAAAAGGTAGCAACTGAGCGGGCGATTTTGATGATAATTCATTAGTCACCCATGGACTTCTAGTACACCTGTGCGTTGCATTGCTATTAATGTTAAAAGAGTACGCCTCGGTTACATCACTTACAAGAAAAGTAACGCAAAAATGCGAATAGTCTCAGTTTATATCGACCTCGGCTCAGGATCCTGCGCATTCGTTCCAATTTTTTATATTTCATTTTTTATTCGCTATTTATTATATTTAATCTTTCGACGGTTCAACTGTTCATAGAGTATGAACCTATGGATTTTCCGTGTTAAGAATCTTTATCAGATCTTCAAATCAGCGTCTTAGCAATCCTTCATCAAGTCAAAGTAAAATACCTAAAAGCTTGCATAAAATAATAGTAATCATCAAAATCTTAAAAAGAAAGTTTGAGATATTGACAATCCAATTATATTAAAAAATATATACATAATTGTGATATTTTGAATACGTCGAGTGAGATTTGAACATCCAAATCCCTCCACCATACGCTCCATGTAATATGCAATACAGGCATCGACTGAACTCGCGGAATTTCTTTCGTTGAAAAATATCAAGCATTCGAGCAAATATATGGAACGAGGGGTCACGAAGATCGTGAGGCTGTGTAGCCGCAAGCTTCAAGGCGCATCCCGCGACGGGTCGGATCTTTCGGAATAGTCTATTTTTAGACGTGACCCGGGTTCGAAGTCAGATTTTATCGTTGGGCACTAAATCCAAAATGGGGTAACACGTTTTCAGACCGCGCGTTACTGCTTTCAATTTTTTTTAAGCTTGTAGGATTAGATTATTCCATTTTTAAGGATGTTTAACTGATTGCCATACGTCTTAATTCATCTACATTGTTTTTTCGCATTATATAGTTTATGTCCATTTTTCTACAAATTTTAATATTCCCTCTAAGTGCAGGGATAAGTACTATAAAAAAAATTCAGTAACGCCTTTTCGAAACCTTCTTTCGACTGACTTTCCTAAGTTTAAGACCTATGCTAAGTGCAACGCTGGATATCTGCTTTAATAAAAGAAATTATCGTTACGACCTTTCGAAACGTGCTGCAGATGTTGACTACTTTACAAACTGTCTATCCCTTGAAACTATTCGCTATGGCACGTAACGCATACAAAATGCACGCCAGTGCGCTGCATAGACTGCGGCGTTCCGTGGCATTAATTCGTTTACAACTGACAGTTGGTTGCCAAGCTGGACACGTGGGTGGTCCGATAACAAATCGAGGGCGCCTTTCTTATATAGGCTACTCTAATCGGGGCTAACTGAAAAAAAAAATGAAGTACTTGAATAAAATCCCTTTTTTAAATTCACGTTTTATTTTGAGAAATAGGAATAAAGATCCCACCAGCAAAAGCAGAAATGTTAAAAACGAAAAGCGGTATACTTTTAGAAATATATTATTGGATATTTATTGCAGCGTGTTGAAACATTCGGTTAGTGCTTTGTAGATAAAATAAAAACAACTCACCGCATCAAACTGTCAAAACTTGTCGCGTTTATCTGGTGGATCAGATCGCATCAAAGTTGCCAGAGTAGAGTGGTCTATTAGTAAATGTCATCTATACTAAAACTAGATTACAAACATTTTATAACGACTCAATATTGCGAAACTATAACTTATATTACTTCTAAAGATAATACTTTAAAAGATTTAAACCAATGGCATGGCATAATATGTGATATTCGCCGTCACCAGCGACAGTCGACAATGGCCGCCATGTTGAAACGAGCGCGACCATAAACAATAACGCATTGCGTGATGAGGAATGCATTAAAACGAATGGCTAAGCTATAAAGCTAGCACGTAGGTTTTTAGTACTTGGATGTGTGTACGAAATAATAAATGCACTGGCGATCGCATCGTTATTTTATTTTATAAAAAGGCGCTGTTTCCTTATAGGTCTTTTGATGCACCTTGCAACAATTATCCAACCAAGGTCATTGACATAAACGGCAACTTGCACGTTGGATAATTCATTTATAAGCGTAGCTTGATAAACAATCTGCAAAGGATTTTACTAATTTATTTTATATGGTCTCACAATAATGATTTTTAATAACGCATGTCCATACTGCGTGGCGGTTAAAAATTGATCCGCTATACATTATATGACATATATAAATGGATGTGACAGATGGTATAAGACGTATGATACGGAAAAAGTTAGCAGTCTATAGAATTGCAGGCTTACACTAATTGGTGTAATTTGAGTTCCTCAGTTTCGGTGCGCTAGTATCATATCTACCTACTATTTGTAAATTATATCATCGGTCGTACAATATAAACTAATATGAGTATTACTCCTACATACATATTCTTATCTTCTCTCGTAATTACAATAATATATTAAACTCCTTGCTCACACATGGGGCTTAAATAGTTTCATATTTAATTTAATGATGTAAGTTGTAGCAGTAATTGTATGTACGACAAAAAAAAAACATCTTATCTCTTTAATCACGTAATGTTTTTTTAACCTCCCTTGGTGATACGTGGTGAGGTTTAAGACTTACCCCCCTCCAGGGGACCCAAAATCACGTGTATCACGGCTCCTTATGGTAATAAACTTAACCCGATGCTTGCGGTTTCAGGAGCTCTTCGTGCCTATAAACACGAAGGGCGAGTTGTACGAGGTTTGTCCTGAGGAGCTATCGCCCGCAGAATGGGAGGGCGAGGGGGGCGCGTCGCCCCCACCGGAGGTGGCGACGCGCGCCCACCGCCTGCCGCACCTCCTAAGCCTCTGGCGGCTGCCGACCAGGGTGCGACTCCTGGCTGGCACCGTGCCGATAGAGATGGCGCACGATGTTGGAGGTTTGTATTACTTATTATATACCTTACTAGCGACCTGCCTCGTGTTCGCATCGGTTCGCATCGCAATGTATTATACATATGGACCTTCCTCTTGAATCACTCTATCTAGTAAAAAAACCACGTCAAGATCCGTTGCGTAGTTTTAAAGATCAAAGCATGCAAAGGGACAGACAGACAGCGGGTCGACTTTGTTTTATACTATGTAGTGATTACTTTATACCTTTGTATTGCTCATTATTATATACCTACACACAATATTTTACGTTACCTTGCTATTCAATTTTCTTATGGACGTCAAGTTTGTTCGGAGCTCGTATGAGCTCTGGAATTACCGATTATCACTTACTAGCGTGAAAAAGTTCGAGGCCTCCATTTCGCGGTTTAGCGTTTCCATATAAAGTCCTCGTCCCCTTGCCAGCTTTTTTTCTCTCCGGGCATTTCGCAGCCGTTCTAGCGTAGTAGCGCAGCGTAGTATTCCCCAATTATAAAATCATATTTTCTTTGTAGTCAATTAAGCGATTCTTTAATATAATATAATATAAGAGAATTAATTAAAAGATTCTCTCTAAATCTTAGAAAACAAGGGTGTATTTTATATTTCCGCCAACTTTTTGACCCACCCTCGTATGCAATTAATTATCCATGAATAATATTAAATTTTTTTAGAACATTTGACAACCTTTATCACCTTATTAAACATATTACTTTCTTATACGGCGGATAATATACCAGATAACTAGTAATGTAATCAAAAGTAAATAAGCGTAATGAGGTAATATATTTGCTTGCAGAAGATCTTCTGCTGCGTGCCGCTGTAACGGAACCAGTGCTGGTGATGTGTTCGCTCCCGGAATACGGCTCTATGCCGTCCAGTCCCAGCAAGCAAATCGATCCCCGCTACTACGCGAAGGAAGCCCTTCAGCTGCTTCCGCTTAACAGCAACATCAAAGTCCGCCGCACGCAGCTCGGCTTCGAGAGCGAGAAACGAATGTTCCTCTCCGCGCGCCTCCAGAAAGCTCTAACTTTCTGTCAACTAAACGTTGACAACTGGATCAGGCAGATCTCCTATGCGAATTCGACCGTCGTCAGCAAGGCGAAGACGGCCGAGGACCTCATTAAGGAGGAACGCGAACCCGTCAAATTTGAGAAGGAGCGCAAATTCACTTTGCAGGGCCTGAAAATCGACACGTCCCGATTATTCGGCAAAAGCGAGAAAGTACTCAAGGATATACCGGACGAGACGGAGGGCTCCATCATATTCCTGAGCAAGAACGAACTCGAACACATGAACTACGATGTGTACAGTGACGATGAAGGCAAAGATGATAAGAGCGACGAAAAAGTTGAACAGGAACAGTTCACCAATGACAAAATGCAAGTGTTCCGCGAGGACTCCGGTCACAAGAAGGGTAGATGGTTCAAGAACTTGAAACTGCTGAGGAGCACGGAGAAACTTGACGACAAAATAGCGGCAATTGAAAATAATGATAAGTACAGAGACGTCAAGGACCCGTTCGATCCTTTATGTGAAAAACACAGTTCTATAGAGAGATATCAGGATATGGCTAAGTTGATTGAAGACCGATTTGGGGCGTCCAGAAAAAGTGACGGTACTGCTGAGAAAAGTCATTCTTATAAGAGTCTGACGACTTCGTCCTCAGAAATGGGCACAAGTCAGTGTAGTTCGAACCACAAAAAACCCGTTTTAACGAAATCCGTTTCAGTGCAGACTGGAATGCCTGATAGCCCTTACACAGAAGAAGATAACGGTATTAATATGAAGCACGGTAGAAAGAACCTCAGTGTAGATCAAATAAACTACTGTGGTTCAATGGAGAGTGACTCGAGTTCTGGTCGTAAACTGAAATCGTTGGATGAAAATATGCTGAAGAAATCGTCAGCTACAAAATCATCAACAAATCTTGAAAGACGACAAAGAATACAACCTGATCTGATTCCAGAGAAAGCTATCACGAAATCTGAGTCTTATAACCAAATACAGAGCTGTGAAGATATAAATATGTTTGGAGCTGGATCTCTGTACAATGATAATGATTTCGAAATAAATTATAAGCAGCATTCCTTTATAACTGAAAAACTATGTTCAGAGTTTCATGTTAAAACTAAAAGAGTTCTCAGCAAATCTACCTCTAACTTGCTTCACCCTAAAAAACCTAATGAAAAGAAAGAAGGTAGTAATAGCAACAGCATGCCAACTAAAACTGAACGCTCAAACGATAGTGAGAAACTTGTCAATTTTAGGAAAAAGATCGATAAGCCAAGAGCCCCTACACCAAAGCCAGAAATAGAGGACGAAGTTGCTCCTGTAGATATTACAGAAGAGCCTCAAAGACAAGTTAAAATACGTCGATCAATATCGTCGATACAAAAGAGAAAATTACCTGTTATTGAAGATTTACCTTATGGACAGGTGGCGGATGCTGTGAATGACGAAGAAGAAAAAATCAACACGGATTCGAGTTCAGACAACATATACGCGGAAATTTGTCCACCAAACGCAAACAAAGCAAACGAAGAAGAAAGCTACGACAATAGCATTGACGTCTTGGCAACCGACCCTGTGATTTGTAATGTCAAAAAGGAAGTTAGCATTCGCAATGATGAGAGAGCGAGGCAGATGGTTGAAAATCAAGAAAATCCGTTCAGACACATCGAAGTGGTTGTAATAGAGAAGACTACAGATTTCGAATTGGATAATTCTAGCGTTGCGTCCAGTGAGTTTGATGACGGGGCGAGTAAAAATGATGTTTCCATAGCGCTTGATTCTTGGGAACGTGATAAGGAGCCTAGCCATTCTGATCCAAAAAACCACGCCATAAGATTAGAAATAACAAGCAATATAGAGGACTATCCAATTCATAATCAGAAAAATAATCTAGAAGTAAATGAAGTCCGTCTAATAAAAGATAATTCATTAAGTTTTAGCAACAGTATCCATTTAAATGGTACATATCCCAACGAGGCCATTTATGATACTTTAAAATAAACTAGATATAATATTTTTATCCATAGAGTACACTTAATGGCACAAATCAATAATAAGTCATAAATTTATACAAATATTGTACGTCACCGATACTATACGTTTTATTGTCTTAGTACCAAATTTTAGAAGTAACCAGGCTATGACAATAACAAATATTTACAATAGAAAGAATTTTTATGAGTTCGGTGACGATCGAAACATTTTTAACCTGTAGGATAATTATCAAAAATTGTGAACTATTTTTTCATGCAATTAAATTTCTTGACTTAATAGCGTGGTTTGGGTAATCACTTGAAGATCTTTAAAATATACCTACATTTTACAAATGAATAGGTTACCATGTATATGTGGTATATTATAATATGTGGTGTCCAACTGGTATTTAATTTTTGTGATTATCACCAATACTATGAAATGGAAGTAAAATCATAGTATTTTACTTCCATGAACATGTAAAACAAAAAGTTTATTAAAAAGAGACATGACAATTGTATAATAAGAAACACTGTAACCTAAGTTACTTGTACTGATTGTTAATTGGTATTTTATTACAGTTATAAAACAAATATAACACTAGGTAAGTAGCAGAAAGTTTCCGATTTCCACTGAGAGTTTACAATCACATTTGGTGCTATGTTGAGGTGCTGTTTTGTGAATTGTTTTATTACATCCGATGATCCTATATTATATAATATACCGCTTCTCAATTAACGATACATATTTCTGTTATACGGTGCACTGGTTTTGAGTATGCTATAAAACCTTAAAAAATATTAAAATAAGCGAACTGGAAGCACTACTAAATTATATAACACATGAAAGATTATCTAGAAGTTTTAAGGATATTGTGATTATTATATAACTTAAATAAAAACTATAAATTTGATTGGTGTACTAGGTAATTTATATTTTAAGCGACACATATCACATGACATTAATGTAAATTTGTACTATATAGACATAATATTGTATTATAAATAAACACAATGGAATGGATAGTCTGGAGTTGTCTGTAACTTGACGTTAAAAAAATACATTTGTGGAAAAAACAAATAAATAATTTGACGAATTATTGTTTTCATTTCCCCGTCACAAGATTAAGGATGGAAATATTTTAAATACAAGCCATTTGAAACATGCTTGTAAGGGGTGGATTACTCTGGAGGTCAGCAATATTTGTAGCGTTTTGATGTAGTTTCTAATTTCCGAAATGTAAAGGTTCGATAGATAACAGCGAGCTTCTTCGCACATACAACAGATGCTTTTAATAATAGACTAACAAACGATTGTCACAAAAGTCAAAACGTTGGGAAAATTAAATTAAGGGAACACCTAAATAGAAAACGTGAAGTCCCGTCGTAACCATGTCTTGTAATCTTTTTTTAATCGACTTCTAAAAGGAGGTTTCTCAATTCAACTGAATATTTTTTTTAGTGTGTTCACGGATAAATTCGTTGTGTCCGAACTGATTTTTATAATTCTTTTTTGTTGGAAAGGAGATATCCCAAGGGATAATATTCCCACTTCCTTTCCTTTTGGTTACATTGATTGACGTCAAAATTATAAAATACTTATTTAATCTTTTCTGCTTAGTAAATATATTTTTTACCTGTTTGAAATCGGTTTCATTTTTGTTAAAAAAATATTTTTTATTGTTATAAATGCATAAAACTTTTTTGTTTCATCTTAAGTGCAGAGACTAGAACTAAAAATAAAAACCGGTCAAGTTCGAGTCGAAATCGTCCGTCTAGTGTTCTGTACCTACCCATTATACCGCCATAATAAAATTGGTATCATTTTTATTGGTGGTTGATTTAATTAAACTCGTAACCTTATAGGAACTATAGACCTCAGTATCTATATATTTCAACTTGCTAGGTACACCTACTTCTGAGAAAATCGGTGGTGACACACGGACAGACGGAGAAGAGAGTGATCCTATAAGGTAAAGTCAATTTCTTTTACCTTTTGAGGTACAGAACCCTAAAATTAAGTAACAGGGAAACTCAAAGAATGAAATGCGGAAATTTGACAAATATACTGTATTTAATCAAATAAATTACATTTAAAATAAAAAAAAAATAAAACCGACAAATAATTTCGTAACAGTGGCGCGGATTAAAAAAAATGGTAATAATTTCATTCGTAAAATTATAATGGTCTAATAAACTCATAAAATACACACGTTACTTTGCTCTCACAAAGTTACTCCATCGCTTGTGCGTCTTACTTATATAATGTCATAAAAACAACTATAGGAATGAAAATTTCTACCAACATTTGTCTAAATGCTCGATTACCAGCTTAATGTTATTTTTTTTTATTTTACAATATACAAGAATATAGTACATATAATAAATTTCGTTTACATGAGATTATAAAGGTCTAAACACCTGCCGCTACATGGAAGATGGGAATTAGTGCTATAGGATCTTACGCAGGCAAGTGAACAGTTGGAATTAAAAATATCGTTCTATATCCTCTCAACTGGACATATAAAAATCCATGGAATATTTTTTTTAATTCAATGGCTTGGGAAATGTGGCATGGAGAAATGAGATGACAGCTTTAAGACGAAACGCAGACAATAAACAGTAAGTACAATAAACAGTAAGTAGAACATAAAAAACGCAAGTGACAGCACAACAAGATATATTAGTTATATAGTAATAGAATTGTCTTATTTATTATTAAAACATCGATATTGATATATCTGCCACTCAGAAGAGGCCAATGTTTGCCTGATAAAGGAAAAATTATGTAACATGCCACAAGCACCTTGACATTGCACTGTCAGATACTAAATTATCAGTCGGAAGGGAATCACAGAGGGTCTAGGCGAGCCTAATAGATTGAATGATTTGGAACACCGCAGAACCACATACAACAAAGATGAATAGAGCGAGTAGCCAAGGTGCCACCGGGTATTGGTCTTCTTTTTCCTGGAAATGAAAGTAGACATCATTAATATAATTTCTTCGAGTCAGGCCTATACATATATTACATACTAATAATACTCAAGAGTCACATTAAAAACATGACAAATGTTTCCCGGTTAGAAGATATTTTAGAAGAAATATTTATAAAAATACTTTAAACCATGGATGCAGCCTAATCGAAACTATCCGATATCTGAAATAAAATCTATCTGTAATCGTAACCAAATCCGTTACAAAAGTTTCGAATAATTTCTGACAGGGTAGATTAGGTTAACTTGTTGTTGCTACTATGCATATTTTCTTTTAACAGTTACTAAAAAATATAATATCCATAACCGAAACTATCAGATAATCCAAAATAATTTCGAATACGTAACTGCAACCGAAACCATTATAATATTATTCAATATCAGTTTCGGTGTATCTATTCTATATCCAGGTTCAAAATTTTATATCCATAACATGCCTGTTTAAGCACTGATGATATTTGAGTAGGCTGATTAGATGGTGTGATAATTTTTAAAATGTTCTTATCTCATGGACCTTGTTGATTTAAAATATAGCAATCAATTAGTATTGTAAACTACTTTTCGCCACCATTTTAAAGATAATGATCATTGATTATTTAATCCATCAATTGTTTACTTATAATTTGCAGTCCCTAACAAATTTTTCTATAATAGTTACAATAATTACAATATTTAATTTTCATGTAACAAATTAATGAATTATAAAATATACATTTAACACAATGTATGCATTTTGGTGGTTGGTTTCATTCTTTCTAATTCAAAAGTAGACAAAATTTAGCTTTCAAACCCATACACATTCCAGTTTATCAATCATCATATTTTCAGTAAATGAATAGTAATACAAACATTGATAAAAATAATTTACACTAACCTTTCAGACAAAAGTAAAGTAAAAGTAAATATGTCCCAATGCTGGGCAGGCATTTGTACAGAGGGGTATTAGGGTAGAGTCCACCGCGCGACCCCAGGATCGAACTCAAGTTGCTCAAATATATTGAATTAAAAGCTAGCGCCAATACAATAAGCTATTATGGCTCTAACAGACAAGGATATGCAGTAATTACAGCATTCCATAACTATTACATATCTCATCTACTCACCCTCTGATCCACCCCCATACATACAAACACATATTAGTGATAAAAAATAATAACATTTGTAAAAGAAACCTCCTGATATAACTATTTTGGCTTGCAACACTGAACCCATACCTTGGTTGTTTTAGGAACGTTGCCTCGCATGGTGATGTTCTTGCTGGCGATCTCGTTAGCAATGCGCATTCTCTGTTTTGGTGCCATTTTATTTGATTAATTATTTGTCCTGTAATTAAAAAACAGAATCAGTATTATCAAATGTGAATTATCAGATGTAACATTTTATTGATATGATGATTGTTGAATTTTAAAATAAATATTAAATTACATCTGTTCAGTGACCATGAACACTGTAAAGGGTACAGAGCGTGGGGATAAATCCGTAAAATAAATAACTATACTAATTTAATTTAATAATGTGTTAGCGCGTAAATAATTTGAAATGTACTGTTGAAATGTATGTATGTACTGTTTAATCTTTTAAAACAATGCCCATCAATTTCCAACCACCAGAATTTTTTGTATTCTTATTTAGTTTGTATTATACATAACATATTTTAATAAATAACACTGGGCATAAAGAGTTGAATAATTGCAAAAAATAAGCGAGGTAACTAGTGATTTTAAAATAAAGATTTTGCGGCAGGTTGTTTACTTTCACAATTTAATGGAAATATTTCACAAACTAATTATTTTTATTATTTTAAACACTATTTTTTACACAACTACATTGTTTCGAAATCAATTAAAGTAAGAATACAATTAAAAACAATATCTTTTGTTTTGCCAGCAAACTCAATGTAATTTATTAGAAACGAAGAATTGTGCCAACATGGCAGTTTCTAAAAACTTACGTAAAATATAGACCCACCTAATAAGCAATAAATGTCAACTCATAATAAATTACCCGTTACTAGTAAAACAGGATAACA